GCTGCTCTTCTGTATCCTTCGTGTTTGGGTTCTCAGCATTGCGCTGAGGTCAGATGAAAGTGTGCTCATCCGCCTCGCTCTGATGACTGGAGGAAAATGCTGATGGGGATCATTTGGCCCGCCTCTCCGCTGTTGATTGCATGCTTGTGGCTCATAATCAGAGTGATGCACAGTAGTTGTTAGACTTCCTTGCCAGGGCTCCATTTTGTGCCGATGTAACTGTCAGCACTTTCGGCCCCGTTGTTCTGCCTGGAGAGCGCTTGCTTAGCACCCACTGGGCTGCTAAGGCGAGGAAGGCTCTTTGCTGAGCACCCTGGGTAAGTTCCTTGCCGCTGTTGTTTGCTTACCCTCAAAATAATGACCTGAGGAAGGACTGTCTGCCCGCTTAGTGACAGCTGGCTCTTACTTTTTGTGTCTGTCAGAATGCTAGTGTGTGAAGACTTGGCTATCAACACACATACACACACACACACACACACAATACAGGGAGCTAGAAGCTGAGCTTTTACCTTTGGTTATGAAACTGGCAAACTTAGCTTTGTCATGTGATCTTGAGCCTTGCTTTGCTCGTCTGTGCAATGGGCTAATAGAATTTACTAGTTGGAAGACTTGGTTTGGGCTAGAAAGGAGAGTTAAACTTGGTCAGCAAAAACCAGCTGCTCATTCAATGGTAATAGCCAACAGTAAGGAACCTAATGCTTTCTCAGAGGATCTAAGCTAATATGTCAACTTTCTGTCACTATATCATACATCCAAGATAAGCAACTTATAAAGAGAGAAGGTTTAGGCTGGCTCGTAGTTTTGGGGGTTATCAACCCATGATCAATCACCCCTTTTGGGGGGTCCTTTGGCAACTCAAAACATCATGGTGTGAGAACATGGCTGAGCTGAACATGCTCACCTCGTAGCCAAGGAGTGAGGGAAAAGGAAGAGGAGGGTTCTGGAGTCCTTTTCTAGGGTATGTGCCAGTGATTTTTTTTCTAGTTCCTGGCTCTTAAGACTCTATCACTTCCCAGTAGCATCACTCTGGAAACTGACCCTTCAACATGAGGGCCTTTAGAGGACATTTAAGGCCGAGAGTACTGTCCTTACAAGATGGTGCTTGCAAAGTTCCACAGCTTTGATGCTCGCTCCAGCTGCAGAGCACACCACACCAGCAGTTTCCTGTTGGTCAGAGGCAGATAACTGGGTGAGCATCTTAGGCTCGACATCAGCTTTACTTGGCTGGGTCTGCAGAGATAGGGTGTGTTATGATCCATCCTGTGTACCTTTCAAAGCATTTGAAGGGCACTTTGGAGGCGGCCCTAAGTCTATGTAACACTCAACTTTGAATGCACAAAAGGGCCACACTATACAATACACAGTGGGTCCTGACCATCTATTCTGTCCCTGAGAAAGCAAATTGAGCAAAGCAAAATTCCATCCCTGTTAGAAGTTCACTAGAGACATCTTCCCAGCTCCTGGATTGCACCCATTGAAGACGTGTGGCCAGCAATTCCAATATTTCCCATGGCACAGCAAGTTCTAGTGAGTGTTGTCAGAAAGAGGCTCTTGGGGGTTCCATATCTGAGCTCTTGTCTTTTTAATTCTTTTTCCAAGTGGCAGAGTGGAGGTCTCTCAGAGAGAAGGATCTGCCTCCATGAATTGTTGCTCAGATTGCATAAGCTGAAACCAACCATTGAGGGAAGGTCTTATATTACTCACTTTTCTCTTTGCTGAGATCAAATACCTGACAAGAAGCAACTTAAAGGAGCAGGGCTTATATTGGCTCACAGTTTGAGAGTATAACCATTGCAGTAGGGAAGGCAAGGCGCATACTGAGAGGAGGGGTTTTGGTTGTGGCTGCAGGAGTGTAAGGCTGCTTGTTTATATCTGGGTGGATAAGAAAGCAGAGGAGGGAGACTGGGGGCTTGGTTGGCTTTCTCATTTTTAATCTTTTCATTCAATCCAGGACCCAGCTCATAGGATGGTGCCACCCACATGCAGAGTATATCTTTCCCTCAAGTTGACCCTTCCTGGAAAGTCGTTCACAGGAACACCATGACATTTCTTAGACCTGTGCAGTAGACCGTATGAATGATATCATCCATCTCATCATCACACAAGGGGACTTAGTCCATTGTTTCACAAATAAAACTTTATTTCACACTCATGTGCTTCTTCAGATTATTTCAGTGTCTCAGTATATACACATCCTTCTCCCAGCTAGGACCTCATCCCCATGTCTTGCCTGCTGGTAGTTCCAGTGTCAGAATACTTCAAAAAGACTTACTGCATTTGTAACTGGAGAAGAAATGTCTCCACAACCTTGGACATCTGTAAGTTTATATTCATTCCCCCAGCCTCTCTCAAAATTGTCCTTTGTCTGAAATGTAACTGATCACGGTTAGAGTTATGGCACAGCCTTGATACTAGGAGGTGATCATGTAGCCTGTGATGCATGTAACCACCTCATATATGTTTTATCCAATCAACTATTCCCTATGAGAAAGAAATTATACCAAAGACACTGGCATTGTACAAATAGCCCCACGTTTTATACCTTCTTGTGGCTTCTTCCAATGTGGTTTTCGTGGGTTTTGAACTCCAAATAATGTGGATTAATTCCTAGGGTCACTCAGAACTCTGCGGTATTCAATTCACTTCTCTCTGAATCATAAATCCACTCCGCCATGACTGGGGGAGAAACCGGGACATTTGTTTAGTGTTAGACTTATGATTTCCGACTTTAGTAAGCATGCCCACTGCCTGTCATCTCTAGTCCCCTATCAGCATCTTCTAGCTGCTCACTGGAAATTGTGAGCTATGATTTCATTTCCCATGGTATATGTGCCAGTTTATATTCTTCTGAGCTCACCCACTCAAACCCAAACAAATTTTTGCTGTTAAAACTTACTATATTTAAGCAATCTGCCATTCCCGATCTTGAAAACAGAGGAGAGAAAGAAGATGTGTGCTGCCATGGTGTGCAGCCGTTTCTCATAAATATGGATACATGGGTGGGTTCTGTATGTTCAAAAAATAAATATTTATTGCCTCATTCTCCCAAAGCGATACTCTTACAGTCCTTCAAACTTTTTGATATGGGGTCAAGTAGTTCACTTGGTGGAGTGCTAGCCTAGCATCCATGACCCTCTGGGATTGATCCCTCACTGAATAAGCTGAGTGTGGTGGCCCATAATCCTAGCGCTGCTCTGGAGGTAGAGGCAGAAGGAGCTCTAATTCTAGGTCATCCTTGTCTACATACCAAGTTCGAAGCTAGCCTGGGCTACCTGATACCCTGTTTCAAAAAATAGATGTAGATCAATTTATTGGCAACTAAAGAGGATTGCAGTATATCAACTGTAAACCATCAGTTGGAAAAATGATATGAATACCTTAAGAACATGTTAAACTAAATTATATGTGTACACATGGGTTTGTTTCTTTTTCAAATGCATGTATGTATTCGTGGGCATAGGGAATTAGGTAGCATGGAAGTGAAAATATTATTACTGGTTCTTAGTGGGAATTTTTCTGATTTCTGTTACTTGTCCCATCCCATCTATATCATGTAATGGTTTTATAGTAGACAGCTTTATTTTGTTCTTGTTTGTCTCATCAGATTGTAGGTAGGTGGGGAGGTCAACGCAGTGCAGCTACTTACATCCAGACAAATTCTAAAAGTCCCTCTCCAGCTCTCCTCCTGTTGCAGATACAGGAATGTGTTGCACTAAAGGGTAATCAAGGCCGTTCTTCTCATTGCCTGCCCTGCATGCCTAATGCTGCAGCAGGACCCACAGAGAGGCATGCAGCAGCTGGTAGCATCATTGGCATTAGGCAAATGAGAAAAACTCAGAGGGCTCCGGTGGCTGGAATCACTCAGCTAGGGGTGGTAGAGCTGAGAAGCATGCGTGGGCTGACTCTGAACTTTATTTTGGAGGTCCTTAGCTTTCTTCCTGTAGACCTCTTTGTCTGGCTTGAGGAGAAAAGGGTTCCTTGTGTGTGAATGCAGCTTTTAAAGATCTCGTCAGAGGCATTGCTCATGTGTACCAGAGCCCACTGTTTGTACTGTCTCTGATCATCTTTTCAGTCAGGCCTTTATCTTTTCTGCAGCCAGAGTCACATCTCAGATGGCCTAGCCTGGGACCATCTGACAGCACCAGGCCGTGGGTGTCACCTGAACATGAACCAACTTCTCTCAGGCATACTGAGGCAGGCCTTTCCAAGTGTGAGACCCCTTTAGGCTGGTGGGTACCTTCAGTAAAAATTCTCCACATGGCCTCATGGCTTCTTGGCCTTTCTCACCATCTGCTGACAGAACAGGAAGAGGTTAGGATGAAATCCAGATACTTGAGGATGGTGTGGAACCTGCTGGGTTAGCTCTGACTCACATTCCCTCTAGACTCACAGAGGTTAGTTCAGTGTCTCTGGAGACTTTGCCAAACAACCTTGAGCTGTAATGGAGCTGGAACTCTTCTGCTCCCACCCCTATCTGTCTCCATCATTCAGCCTTCCTATGGCCAGACACTTGCATCATCTTGGTTCTTTCCCACAGCTGGTTGGACCAGTCAGCACTTGCAACGCTATGGTCTCTGCCTGACATTACTCAGTGGGCTTAAGGAGCCTCCATCACGTCTTGCCAAGTCTGTGTTCCCATGCAAACCTAGTTACAGATGGCTGTGGGTCAAGGCTTAAGGGTATGGCATTTGGGAGAAAAAGACAAACTGCAGTGAATGAGGAAGGTAGGGCATTTTAAAAGACCCACCTCAAAATACTTCCTATACACCGCAATATACGCACCTTATCCTAACGGTATTCATATAACGCGTGCTAAATAAACCACATATACCATGACTTTCTGTATATGATTGCTTTAAAACATCGTTAGCTTCATATTACCATGTGTATCTACTGACTACAAGTCTCCTTGCCCTCCCCGCTCACTGACCTGTGCTGATTCAGCAACTTGGCCCCCCAGTTGTTTTTAAATTCTTTTTCTTTTCTTTTCTCTCTTTCAGTTTTCCAAAGAAATTAGACCAAAACTTTCTTCTTGAGAAGAAACCAACCTGCTGTTGGCAGAGGGTGAGTGAGCCTTTAAATGTACCATCTATTTTTGTTCATGTCAAAATGGTGTTTGATACCGTGAGGTTCCAAGATCAAGCGTTTGATAACAGGCAGGCTGGGGAAGTCTTCTCCAGCTTGGAGTCAAGATGCTCTTTCTTTCTTCTAATTCGTTTGCCCGGGTCCCTCCTAGGAAATAAGGTTTTTCTCAGAGCTTTTGCTCGGCTGCTTCCTGCTGTCCCCAAGTCCCCTCTCGTGAGCTGCCCTCAAAGCTGTTATATCACTTGTACATTCCGCAGAGAGGTCAGCTGTGAAAGTGTCTTTCCTTCGGCGACCGGCCCATAGAGATAAGGCTGTGGGCAAGGGGAGACTGTCTGTCTGGTTCACATGGCTGTGTCTTGTGAGTGCCATGAGAAAGAACAATCAGCTAGGAGTGGTCCACGGGACCTCCCAGGCTATCTGGGGAAGTCCCTGTGTGCAGATGAGATAGCTGGGATCCGGTGGGGCTCCGAGAGACCTGTGACATCACAGACAGTAGCAGAGCCAACAGCGTGAGAAGGGTGTTTGACTCTTAGCTGTGGTCCTGAGGAGAGATGATTGTTTTTAACACACAGCTTATTTCCAAGAGGACAGATTTATTTCTATAATTTAATTTAACTAAAGCACTAATACAGTCATAATGGCCTGCTGTCCTAAAGAATATGCTGAAGTGGTGTTGTCTGGCTTCGTAGTTGTCATGCAACCAAGCAGGATTGGCAGAGTAGGTGCCTCCAGAAACCATCAGATGTGGTCCTCATTGGCACCGACATATTTGCTTGGCTCTGCCTAGGAATATGTAAACAAATGTCTACTCGCCTTCGAGAGGGCAGCAATGACCTAGCAAAGAGATGAATCTACCACACAAAAGCAGCTAAGTGAGCCAGTGACTTTGTTGGGCTAGGGAAGGTAAGAAAAAGGGGTAGATAGAGGAACACGGGTGATTCTGGGAGCAGTGCCACCAAAACGTCACCCCAGTGTGGGTGACAACACAAAGGCTTCGTCCACGGAGCTCCCTGCCCAGCTACCTGAGAAGTCTTTCTAGCCCAGCAGGTTTTTGCTCTTTATCTAATCTGGCAGAGGAGCCTGTGGATCCTGTAAGTTTAGTGAGCTTCCTGTATCACTGACTCTCCCTCCACTTTGAGGGCACCATTTCAACTCAGATGAAATAGCTGCATAAGTGCATGTCTTCCTTCGTGCCCTTTCCAAACCACCGCTTTTGTAGTGCCATGTTGTCGCGTGCTGAGACTGGTCGGCACCTCTGTTTTGCAGCTAAGAGCCAGCATGAGGCTGCTGGTTACGTCATATTTACAGTCCGTAAGTAGAGAGAGATGAATACCATTGCTCAGCTGTCTCCTTTATATTCAGTCTGGGAACCCAGCATATAAAGCAGTACTCCCCATATTTCAAGAGGGTCTTCCCTCCTCGGTTAAACCTTTCTGGAGATGGTCCTCCTAGATATACTCAGAGGTGTGTCTCCTAGTTGTTTCTAAATCTTGTCAAGTTGACAATCAATACATACTCACAGAAAACGCATATATATGTATGCAAGCATGCATGTATGTATGTACATATGTATGTATGTATGCATGTATGGTGGACACAAAGGTGTGTTGTTCTCTGCAAGATCCAAAGATCTTTGTAGAATTAGACTGTTGATTAGACTAAACTTAAAAGACAACTCAGAGGAGAAATGGCGAACTCTGTATCTACGCTGTATTATTCTTTGGGTAATGAATGAAATTGTAGACAAGGATCTAAGGCCAAAGACCAAACAAACACCAGGAGAAAGAGGGACCCCTGGAGCTTATGCAGTACACTTGCAACAACTTGATCCTGTGCTAGAATCATCAGTAGTTTGATCTTGACATTCAATAAAATATCATAAGCCATTTGTTCTTTGCCAATTAGAAGCAAAGTAAGTTCAAACTGAAGCCATGGGAGTTTTGTGGGGGCTGGAGGAATTTTTAACCTAATGAGGCTGTGGTGTAGCTCAATACCGTAGTGTGTACTGGGCATCTACCCAACACCAAGCATAACAGTAACAATTCTCCTGACAATACTTAATTCATTTGGGGTATACAACATTTGGAACCTCTTTTCCTCATTGCCCAAGGTGATTCTTTTTGTTTTCTTGCTTACTTCATTTTGTTTTTTGGGTTTTTTCCCTAACATAAAACTACCTTTTGAATGAAAAAAAAAAAAAACGAAGTAACAATCCAAAGCAGATCAGGGACTGGTCCCACTTGTACTTCCACCTGTGAAACATGAGTGGCTGAGTTCTCTGTCTCACTGTGTAGAGGGCTGGAGCTCTGGAACGATGCTGCGCTCAGTTTATAATGGCACTTAACATAGATGGTGTTCCTTTAAGGGAAATCCACTGGAGTGCTCTTGCCAGCACTGAGATCTTATTTGCTAAAGGCCAAATGGCAGTGGCATGTATTGGTTCCATAGCAACATGTCTGTGCAGGCACAAAAAAAAAAAAAAAAAAAAAAAAACACAGAATGCTTGCAGCAGAGCCAGGATTGCCGAAATTCCTCCTTCATTTCCCCGCCTATCTCCCTCTGCCTCTTCCCTTCCTGGGGCCTTTGATAGTGTGGGAAATCTGCACTTTGTCATCCTTGTTATCTAGCTCCGTTGTTAACACTAGCCTGTGTCCTTCCTTATCCAGCCTGGAACCGGGTGAAGAGGAAGGCAGTGCCCATGATCTCACTCTTCAGCAGAGCTGAGCATCTCCCAGCCTTAGTGCTTGAGAGCATGCAATTTGTGCATTGCCTCTTCTCTAAGGCAGCATAGCTCTGTCATAAGGACATGGCAAGGCCCAAAATTCCCATGTACAACAGTCAGCTCCTCCTGGCTGGAAGGTGGGCATTGACAGAGAGCCATGTGTGATCCAGAGAGCTCATGTCAGATGCTGTGGACCTGAGTAACAGGAATAGTGGGGCTATACAAAGAAATATGGTACCCCTTCCTCTCCTTACAGAAGGTTCCGCTAGGGGCGCATATCCTGATTGCAGTTCCATCACTGCTGGGCCCTTGGGAGATAGTCTTTCACATCTGTTGCAAACACGCTGGTTTAGGCTGATGCTTCTGCTAAACTCTGGAAGCAGCAGGGTCTCATACTACAGCCCAAGCTGGCTTGAGGATTACTGTGTAGCTGTCCTAGTTTCTTTCCCATCGCCATTATAGACGACTCTGACAAAAGGAACCTAAGGAAGGAAGGCTTTATTTGAGCTCGCAGTTCAAAACAGAGTCCCTCCTGCAGGGAAGGCAAGGGCTTGTGTGCTTGCAGCAGCTGGTCCCTTCCATCCGCAATCAGAGAGAACAGTGCACACATGCACGCATTCTGATGGTCCGCTGGCTTCCCTCGCATCATACAGTGCTCCTCAACCTGCGGGTTGACCACTTTGGGAGGTCAAACAACCCTTTCACAGGGGTCATTTGTCAGATATTTACAATAGGAGTCATAACAGTAGCAAAATTATTACTACGAAGTAGCAATGAAAATAGTTGTGGCTGGGGTCAGCAGAACATGAGAAATATATTAAAGGGTCTCAGCATTAAGAAGGATGAGAAGCACTGACTTTATACAACCCAGGATCTCCTGCCCCGGGACTAATCCTATCTATAGTCAAGATGTGTCTTCCCACATCAATTAATCAAGACAAAGCCCCACACGAATACCCAAAGGTCTACCAGGTGGTTCTATATTCTACCTAGTTAGCAATGAACACCATTGCAGTAGCGAAGACTGACTTCAAATCTGAGGCTGTCCCGTGTCAGCCTCCCAAGGGCTAGGGTCACAGGTATGTGCTATCGCCCCTAACCTCTGGAAGCATCTTCAAAGACCTCTGCCATCCCTTTGCCACCCACCCTGCGTTTCTTCTTTTGATTACTATCTCTTTGCAGGATGTCTGGGCATCTTTCTAGACTGAAAGGAAGCCTTTTAATCTTAAAATCAGTACATCTCTTCCTCTCCCACACCCATGGGCTTTCTTTCTAAATTTCTCTAATGCAAGGAGCCTGGTGGGTAGTACCCATCCCATCCCATTTGTTCATGATGACATCATAGTCTCATCCTGTCACCCAAAGATTGTGATGCATGTATGTAACTATATCTGTGTATTCATTTACACTTTTAAAGAAAATATCCATTTTAGAGACTCTTGGTGTATATTTTTAAATGTGGTGATAAAGTCACAAATTAGGAGCATCTAAGGACTTCACTCTTCCCTTCTTCCCATTGTGGAGACTGACCACAAGGCCTGTCCTGTGTCTCACACTGGCACAAAAGTAAGCCTTTTTTTTCCACCCCACCCCCAACACTCAATGTCACAGCATTTGCCTTTGGGGCCACATTTCTCAGTCTAGCAGTTGTCTTTGGAGCCATTAAATCAGAGATTTGAAGGGGCTTCATTAAAGTGACAGGCTTGATAGATTAGGATAGCGATTCCTGATTTAGTTTTGAGGCCTGTTGGGAAAGGAGATGGTTTTCATGTGAAAACTTTTATCTTAAAAAAGTAAAAGGAGTTTTCTTTCCGAGCTCTGAGTCAATGGAAATAAGACAGGTGGAAGCCAGAATTTTTATGCTGCTAATAACAGTTATAAAGTGGGTGCCACCTGTCTAGTGCCCTGTCCTTACTGTGGCCCTTCGTATTCATAACGGGAACCATTTTGAGTCAGCAGAGCCCTGTCCGTGGAAAGAAGAAAGAGGTCAAAGTTTGCATTGATTACCCCCTACCCAGTGCTATCTGCTTTCCATCCAGGGGAGGCTGGGGCCACATTTGTTTCCAGCCTAAGCCAGGTAGCTCACTCCCCACCCTTGGAGAAGAAAAAGGCAGAGTGAAGGGCCAGGGAAATGTATAAGATGGGTGGGGATGGGGTGCTAAGGCTCTGTGAACATTTTAGCCTCTACCTCCCAATCCATCAAGGCAGACCAGCTCATCCTCCCTGCCTGTGAGAGCCTACCCCCTTCACCCAGTCT